TTCCCAAGCAGGTTGCTTTAACAGCTAAACAAAAATTTACTCGGTTTCTGAAATGAGGTGCTTTTGCATTTCAGGCAACGATTACTTGCTCTGACCCCGAATGTTTCAAGCTTGAAACCCAAGCACAGCAGTGCCATTACATGTCGATTGCGTCCATCATGCGCAAAGAGGACTTTGAAGCTCAAACTGGAGTGCCGCAAGGCACGAAGAAGCCTGATGGGCAAGCAGCAAAGGACCATATGCTTTTGGGATTCGATGGAGAATGTCGAAAGCCCGAAAATCTTGGTACTGAGATTCTCAACATGCTGCAGGTAAGAATCGTACCCACGATATCTACGCTTCATTTTGGATTCAAAATGAATCTGTTGCGTTTCACATACCGCTGCCATAGTGCGGTACATCAAAAAACGCCTAATAATTTAAATTTTTGTGGGATACCGAAGGCGGCTCTTTCTGCAGCCGACTGCACCTTCTTCAGGTATACATCAAGCCTGCAATGATGTTTGCATCTGTTTATGGCGCAGCATCCAAAGGACTTGGCCAAAAAACACTCCTTGGAACGTTTAACGGGCAGCGGAGGAACAATTCCACTCCAGAAGCACCACTTAGACCTTGTCTGCGACGTTGAAGATAAAGCAGAATGTAAGCCAACATCCATGGTTCTTGACTGGTTTCTTACTTAACAGTGTGCGGAATTGAACNCCTTCTTGCAAGACTCTATACGAAGCCCTCCAGCACGTCACAGAGCCGAAACCACGGGTATGTGCAGTACTACATGTGGCTGTATACCAGTTAGTGCAACAGAACCGCACAAGCAAGTATACTGGAGCATAGGCTTGTGGTTCTTTTGTAACTGTGCAGGCTCTGCCGGAACTTTTGGTCTTGACGGATATCAAAGACCTGAAGAACACGCTAGGGCTGTACAGAATTGCATTTCTTTTCGAAGGTCTCGTTCAATTCACCACCCCAGAAGGAACTAAAGTCGATGCATCCCAACACAAGCTCTCCGCACATGACGCAGATTTCATGCACAAGCACAGACATGAAGACATATCAACTACAGTGATGCTAAAACCGCAGTAAATGCTCATGCGGAAAACTCAAAATGGGAATTTAAGCCTGGAAATGAAGCATGGGGAAATTATACAGCCTGCCCCATGACCTCCAATTTAGTATATTCACAATTTTGTTTTGGCGTCAGGCTTCTTGGGGGTACGGTAAAAAAAAATTATGCCGTATCATGAGGAATGCAGGAACTCCATTCCTTCCCTCATTTTTGTTCACCTGGATGCATTGTTTTGTCTACCAAGAACTAAAATTTATATCAGTGATGCAACGCGTAGCATGGACTAGTGTAGTTTCAGCCCCTGTGCGATTCCTGGAAGCTAGTGCTTGCAAAATAGGCTAACACGGTAGTCCCTTGGGCTGGGTCGCTGAGGCCTTTTGCCATATCGCGGTTGCCTGTGGGCGGAGGATGGCGGATGGCTGCAGCAAACTGAATCTGCGCATCTGTGTAAGCCCCTCATTGTAAGGTAGCAAACAGTTAAGTACAAAATTTAATGAAAGGTTTTTTGCGCCGCACGTAATTCTCTCATCTAGCCAGTTGCGGAACAATCAGGAGGACAAACGAAGACGGGGGCATAATACTATTTATATATATAATATATATCATGCATGCTTATGCAAATATATATATCCACACACATATTTGTATGTATACATCATTTTATAANNNAGAGGAACAATAAGCAACCGATTATGCATAACAAAGTTTCAAGAAGGGTTGAGAAACAAATTTCTTGAAAGCGCAAGCGAATGCCCGTTCACTGGGTACCCTGGGGAGATTCCGTAGTCGGTCTCGTCCCCAGCGGGTTACGTGTGTCCGGTTGCCATCAAGAAACATTACTATTGTATATGCTCCAGCATAGGGTGCCGTGACTCTTGCTCTACACCCTTCTCTCGCTATTCTGTTACTAATATATCTGCGATTATCTCTAAATAACGTATTCGACTCATACGCTAACCGTACACTACAATATAACGCATCTATTACCTCGTATGGCTTGCGCACTACAGGCACACGATCGACTCGGCGAGTTTGTTCAAGGGATCAGCCTATATGGAGGCTCTACCGAGCCGTAGTCTTCTGTACAACAAAGACAACGGTGTTGTCCACGAAGAGATAATCATATTGTTGTACCTTAATGGGAGTTCTCCAGGGCTGGTGACGAACTGCCGGNTGTCCACGAAGAGATAATCATATTGTTGTACCTTAATGGGAGTTCTCCAGGGCTGGTGACGAACTGCCGGGTGGGACTGCTGCTGCGCGGGAGGCAGCGAGCGGTGAGCCGATATCAGAAAGGTTTATTTCGTCGTTTTTTTGAGGGATTTCGGGGTATTTTCCTCAATTACCTATCACTGTTTATTTTTTTCCTCGCGGCTCACTGTTTTCGTCATTCCTCTCGGGGGACAGCCGCGCGAGTCCGACGAATCGACACGGTCGGTAACGTCTCGATGAGCAAACTGGTCCATTCTTCAATTTTTGGATGTTTAGTGTTGCATTACGGTAAGAATATAAGAAGATAAACCTGATAAAGGCGTCGAAGAAGGCCTGAAGCCCCCCTGTGCCCCTGGAGCCTCAAGCCGTAAGCAGGTAGACGTAGTGAGTTCCAGTATACGCACACCTTCCGCACGTGAAAGCAACCGCTCCTGCAGCTCGACTGCATTTTTCTACTCCCCTGAAGTGGATTTCAACTCATGTGTTCCCTAAATTCAATAAAAACACAGCTAGGTGTGCTCCATCCGGGGCCCNCGTCTTCTCTGAGAAGCAAGCTTGGCCGTCAGTGTCTTACTTCTGCACTGAGTTGTTCCATGCAGGTGGCTGGTTTTGCCTGGGTAAGTGCATGACCCGCGCTGCATGTACCGTCTGCTGTTTGCCGCAGGGCTCGTCAGTTGCTTCTGAACGCAGGCCGGATAGGGCGTGTGCAACTACTTAACTTCTCTTCCGAGCATCTACTTGTCTTCGACTTCGCCTTGCGCGGTGGGTGTTCTTCCCGCTTGAGTTTTCCCCCAGTAGTCCCTGTAGCCCTCTGTAACAGTCAGATCAGTTACAGGAGTGTAGATAGCAGACCACGTCCTAACAGTGCACTAACTACAAGAAGGGCTCAGACAAGAGCGAGTAGCTGACTCCAGATGAGGGCAAAGACTCTGCCATGTTTTGGTGGAGGCATACTGGAGGGCCCCCCCCAGAGGGCTCCCCAAGCAAATGCCCTTCCACCGGAGACCCATGGATGTCCCCCGCATCTCCTGCCTTATCGAATGATGAGGAGGAAGCCGTGTCAGCAGAGTGGGAAGATAAAACCGTTGGAAATGTAAAGAGAAGCAGAGACAGAGCGCCAAATGCCCCTCATCGGTCGCCAGCACGGGCAGCAAGGTTTAAGCCACTTGGAGGCTCAGTGCGCCGATGCCTAACGAACAGCCCGAGAAGAAAAAGGAGTCGTTTACGAAGCCATTCGTTTTCTATGAATTTTTCTGGCCTTCGAAACTTTTCCCCTGGAGCAATAGATATTATCAATCCCAGCCGCCGCTCCGCTGGGACGGGCAGCGACTGCCTGTCCTTGAACAGCGAGGAATACCTGAGCGCTTGCAGCGACTTATTTAGTTCACCAGCACCATCGGAGGGGAAAGATGTATCCTTCTTCACTGGAACTGCCAGCCCTCAATCTGACAGCAGCTCCGCTAGTATTGAGCCCCCTTATCATGAATCTCTCTCCAGCGACTTTCGTCTACACGCCACTTCATTTCGAGTTGCTAAGGACGACGAAGACAGGCAGCGGTCAGCTCCTGAGGGGGCGGTTGGAACACCGATAATAACGGCATTCGCCTCAGTCAGGTCTTTGTCTCTTCCATTGCTTGGGCCCCGTGTCGCAACAACAACATCTCCTTTGCCTGCTGGGGCTCCCTTGGCGTCTTTCAGATGGATCTGTAGGAGCCCTTCCAATAATGAAGGCGAAAGCGACCAGCAGCCGTTGCATGTGCAAATGAAGGCTCTTGCATCTCAGGCTTCCCTGGACCACCATGGGAACGTTAGCAGCGGTCGTCTCACTCCCCATACGCCGCATGCAATGTCACGGAGCTCCAGCAAAGAGGAGATATCGCAGGCGCAAGAGGAGCACGGGCCCGGATTTCCGTTTGCCAGCTCCTCTCATGACGGGCCTCGTGCGGCTCAAAACCCTGGTGGTGAGGAGGAACAGTGGGGATCTCAGCCTCCATGTGAATTGGATANCCTCGTGCGGCTCAAAACCCTGGTGGTGAGGAGGAACAGTGGGGATCTCAGCCTCCATGTGAATTGGATACTTCTCCAGTACTTTGGGGTGGTCAGAGTCTCGTCGGGAATCTTGCTACACCTTATGGCCCAGCGGACACTCCTGAGCCACCTTCAGTAGGGATCATTCCAGAGGATCGAGGCGAAGAGGCTATTGACGCCGATCAGCAAAACGATCTCCAAGCAGAAACAGGGATAGATCGGGAGCATTCGCAGTCGAAAAGCTTCCACTCCCGCACAAACGCCGCTGAAGTATTAGGGCCTGCTGACAATGAGAGACGGAGCAGAAGCTGGACCGCACGCAACGCAAGGAATTCTTTTGACCAACTGCCGCGCTCTTCCAGCTCAGCCCAGCACCTTCCTGTTCGCCTAGTGAGCTGCCCGCAAGAAGCCGGCTCCTTCCGACCTCTTGCTGGGTCTCGAGAATCTTCAGAAGGAGAAGAGGGGAAAATAAAAGCTCTTGCTCAGGAAAGCTGTGGGGGAGCACTCTTCCCGAGTCGAAGAAGCGACATTGATTCAGCGAGCCCAAATACAGTGGGAGAAGATCAGGACGTTGGCACACCTAGAAGGACGGACAGCATCGGCAACAATTCTTGTGTTTCCAATGGGGATGGTATCTCGGAACCCAGCAGCATTCATAGCGACGGAAGCTACAGATGCAGTTGCAGCAGCAGTTGGAGCAGCAGCAGTTGCAGCAGCAGTTGCAGCTCCAGTTCCTCCAACAACAGCAGCTGCATTTGCAGCCAGAGAAGTAGTAGCGTGGACAGCCGCTGCAGAATATGCACTGATAACGAAACCCCCATCACCCTTCATGAGTGTGGAGATGCCCGTTTAGGGGACCTTGATGGCCGATTGTCCGATGCATCGTCAGCACGGTGTCATGATTCCCGGGAGGCTAGCAGGGAAAATAGCGACTGCCGAAGCAACACAGAAGAGGAATCGAAATCTTTCACGAGTGACGGTCAGACACCTGCAGGCGGCGAGAGAGATATCGAGGCTGGACATGCAGTTGCAGAGCCTAAACAGGAGGAGGTTCTAATGCGACAAGGGAGTACGCATGACGCTGAGACCTTACATCTCCCCGAACATTGCTTTCCTGGGGCGCCATCGGATCCCAGTGCTGACGGCCAGTTGCCAGTTGCACAGGCCGTATGCCCTTCCTGTCCTGAGGCCTGTATGGAGAGCTCCCAAAATTTAGGGGACGGTGTGGGGGAACCTGCATCTGCAAACTGCAGCATAGGAGATGCACATGGGGCTGGACAAGCGCTTGCAGAGGCCTCGCAGCAAGCAGTGGCAGAAATCGCCGACGAAACTGTCGATGGCACGTCCCATCCAGAAGAAGAACTACAGGCAGCAGCTGCTGACTCGGATCCAGAGTGTGGCGAGGAGAGAGAAAGAAATGGGCTTGCAGTTGAGCACACGCTAGACCATTCTTTGGTCAGCATTGCAGACGCGCTTCATACAGGGCTTGTTCCTAGTGAACAACAGCGAGATGGACCTGAACTTACTGCATGCAGCCCTCCTGTAGAGGAACAAGAGAAACAAGAACCCCATGTCGTACCTCTGCCGCCAAGCTCATCCTCGGCGACAGATCTGTCGCTAAGCTCCTGCTCGCCGACAGAGGCATCATACTTGCCAACACGTTTCTCATGTACCGGGAATGCAACTACCGAGCAGGAAAAGAAGCCGATGAGCGAGGTGTGTTCTGGAAGCGAGGCTAGGAGATCGTCCGAGGATCCGCAGGAGCGGCAGACGATACACGGCGCCTCTCTGGCCATTGTGCCGGAGGCTGGTGCATCATCGAGCACCAGGCTAGGTTCGGGGCTAGATGCTGCTGCGGCCAAACAAAGCCACCAGGATGCGTCTGAAGAGCCTAGACGGGAGGCCACAGAGCCGAAACGCGAGGTGTCCCGTGGCAGCGAGGGTAGAACCTCGTGTGCGGATACCCAGGAGAGCCACGCGAAGCAGTGCTCTTCTACGGAACGTGCCCAGGAGGCTGGTACATCGCTGTGGAGCAGCTTTTGGTCAGCCTTGACGCCTGTGGAGGATACTAGCCGAGTCTTTCAGGATGCGGCGGACGTAGCTGTAGGGGCTACTGAGGAGCCGAAGCGCGAGGGGTCGCGTGGAAGCCAGGGTATCAGCTCGTGTGAGGACCGGGAGGCGCGCCCGGCGGGGCCTGAGGCATCGGCAGACAGTGTCCAGGGTGGTGGATTGTGCAGTTTGGGTTTGGTTGGGGAGGCTGCTGCGACTGACGACAGCTTCGAGGATCCGTCAAACCATTCTGAAGAGGAGGCGGAAGAGTCGTGTGTTGAGGAATTGCCTGGCAACGAGGGTAGAAACGCTTCTGGAGTTACGCAGGAGAAGCAGACTAACCAGCAAGGGTCGCCGGAGAGTGCTCAGGGCCGTGATGAATCATGCAGCCTGGTTGCGATTCGGCAGGCTGTAGCGGCCGATGACCGTTTCCAGGATGCTTCAAACGATTCTGAAAAGGAGGCGGAGGCGTCGAAAGGCGACGTCTCGCTTGACAGCGTTGGTGGAAATTCGTTTGGCGATATGCAGGAGCGCCAGCCGAGCCAACCGACGTCAGCCTACAGCAGTCTAAATGTTGATTCATCGTTTTGCATCAGTTTTGGTTCCGTTCGAGAGTCTTCCGAGGCCAGTGAGAGCTCTCAGAATCCATCAAACGGCTTGGTTGGGGATAACGAGGAGCCACCCCGAGAGCTGCCGCTTTGTAGCGAGGATAGAAGCTCAAAGGGGGACATGCAAGAACGGGATGCGAAGCAGGAGGCGACTACAGATATTGTTGAGGGAGTGGATGTATCGTGCAGTTTGGGTTCGGTTGACGAGGCTGCTGGGGCTGGCAACGGTTTCCAGGATGCGTCAAGTGGTTTTGAAGACGAGGCGGAGGGGCCGAAGCGGGAGACGTCGCATGTCAGCGAGGGTAGAAGCTCGCCTGAAGATGCGCAAGGATGCCACGCGAAGCCAGAGGCTCTGCCGATCACTATGGAAGGGGCTGGCGTATCGGATTCGGTTGTGGATTCCGCAGTTGAAGACGAAAGCTTTCTCGACGCGACGGCCGTGAATGGCGGGGAAGATACAGTGGCGAAGCGCGAGGTGTCGCGTGACAGTGAGGGTAGGCGCTCGTGTGGGGATGCACACGAGCGCCACTCAAGCCAGGAGGGGTTGCTACCCGCTGTCCAGGGCACTGGTATCTTCTTCGGATTGAGTTCAATTCGGGATGCTGCGGTGGCCGAGGAAAGCTTCCAGGATGCATCAGACGGTTCTGAAGGAGAGGCAGAAGAGCTGAGGCGCGACGCGTCGCGCGGTAGCGATGGCAGAAGCTCTTCTGTTGCGACGGAGGAGCTGCAGGCGCGGCAGACGGCGGCGGCAGACTGTGTTCAGGGAGGTGCTCCATCGTCATGCAGAGGGGTGGACTCGCTTCGAGAGGCTGTGGTGGTCGACGAAAGCTTTCAGGATGCGTCAGACAGTCCTGACGGAGGGAAGAAAGAGCCGAGTCGCGGGGTGTCGCA